AGTAGGAACTGCAGATGCTGGAGAATCTGAGATAACAAAGTGTAGAGCTGGATGAACACAGCAGGCCAAGCAGCATCATAGGAGCAGGAAAGCTGATGTTTTGGGCCTAGACCCTTCATTTCTGAAGAAGGTCTATAGCATCCAGCCAGATTCAGGCCTTAATGTTTTTGGATTAAGCTGCTGCTCTTCCCCAGGCAGCATAATTACAACCCAGGAAGACAGTAAGTTGACAGTCAATGGAGAGTCACGAGACTGGGGTGAGTAGGCTGAGGTAGGAGGGCCCTTGTAGGGAAGCCTTTATAAGAAGTATAGAGTTGAGGGACAGGTGAAATGCCTGCTTCTTCTAGCTCTAGATGAACATTTATTTTCTGAAGAAGAGTCACTGAACCCGAAATGTTCACTCTGATTTCTCTCCACAGATGCTGCCAGACCTGCTGACTTTTTCCAGCAATTTCTGTTTTTGCTTCTGATTTCCAGCATCCGCAGTTCTTTTGATTTTTTTTTGAACATTTATTTTACTTTTTACATGTGTAAAGGATGTAGACGGATGGTCACAGCTAATGCTGTACTGGCTGATTTGAAATCTCAAGTGCAGCACTTGATCCACATAATCCAAACCAGTTTTCTCATGGGTATTAAATCTAGGTGCTGAGTTACTCCTTTGCCTATATATGGAGCCCAGCATCTGTATTAACCCTCTGCTTTAATTGATGAATCTATCTATTCTTTTTCATCTGGAAAATGGGAGCAGCAAGGATTATTTTGTAGCCCCTTGTCTCCAAATTATTGTGTTATGTTTCACAATCATTAAGTCAAAGCACCTTTCAATAGGTATGCTTATGATGTCAATACTGCATCATAGCATGCGACCTGGGGGTATGAAAGTCTCAGAATCCATCTTACCTTGGATCACTTAAAGCATTAACGCTGTACAGGAAGTATGGACCTCTGTTTTAAATTAGTAGCTTAATATTAACCTAGGCTTTTGTGCCTGAGGAATGTAATGTTCATGCATAATAGATGGTTGTAATAAATGTCTGTTGGATACTTCCACATTTTAAATAAATATTATATTATGGAAGATAACATAAACATTACCACATTGGGTAAAACACTCTGCTGAGGCAAGCTCACACCACATATGGATACAATTCTTGCATCGAGAGTCAAGCAAGAGTCTTGGACCGTTCAGCACTGGATGCAGATATTTTGGAAGCAACAGCAGCTTGTCGTATTTTTTTAAATTATTAATGTTTCAATTGAAGTAGCTCCATGGAAGACAGAAATAAGAACGTTGGGCTTAGGAACAGGAGAAGCCTATTCAGCTTTCAAGCCTACTGTGCTGTTCTGTAAGATAATGGATGATCTGGTTGTGATCTCAACTCTACTTTCCTTTCAGCACCGCCCCCCCAATACCTTTGGCTCCTTTGTCAATCAAAAATCTATCCACTGCTGCCTTTGATAAATTCAATGTTCCAGTCTTCATGGCTTTCAGGAGAGGAGAATTGCTCTAATTGGAAAAAAAGTTCCTCTTCTCCATCTTTAAAAGGGAGACTTCTGATTCTTAAACTGTCTCCCCTTGTTGTAGTCACATACATTAGGGGAAGTATCCTCTTGGAACCCACGCTATCAAATTCCCTTAGGACATTGAGTTTCATTAAGGTCACATTTCATTCTTCTGAATTCCCATGGGTCTGGGCCCAATTTCTTCAGCTTTATTTCATAAGGTAACTGGTCTTCCCAGGAATCAGTTGAATGAACCTTTTCTGAAAAGCTTTGAATGCAATTTTTATCTTTATTCAGATCAGCAGTCCGCAACTGTATACAGTAATCCAGATATGGTCTCACCAAGGCTGTACACAGCTGCAGCAAAACATCTCTACCTTTTGTATTTCTGTTCCCTTGCAAGAAGCCCTAATGGTGGCTCAGTGGTTAACGCTGTTGCCTCCTAGCGCCAAGAATTCATGTTCAACTCCACCCTCGGGTGACTGTCTGTGTGGAGTTTGCACATTCTCCCTGTGTCTGTGTTGGTTTCCTCTGGGTGCTCTGGTTTCTTCCCATGGTCCAAAGACGTGCAGGCTAGGTGGATTGGCCATGCTAAATTGCCCATGGTGTCTAGAGATGTGCAGGCTAGGTGGATTAACCATGGGAAATGCAGGGTTACAGGGATGGGGTGGGTCTGGGTGGGATGCTCTTCGGAAGGTCAGTGTGGATTCAATGGACCGAATGGCCTGCTTCCACACTGTACGGATTCTATGATTTCGTTTGCCTTCCTAATCATGTGTCGCACTTGCATTTTAACTTTTGTGATTCTGTGCCAGCTCCAGGAATTCCCAGAATGTTTCTCATGCGAGCAAATTTCTTTGAATGTTTCTTGTTTGGAATTTTTCCCTGGAAAACACTGTTTCCTGTGCATTTGGTCTTTTCGACCACCTGTCTTAATCCAAATCCCATCTGGACTATCACTTAAAAGCCTTGTTGCATGTTGCATTCCTTTCCAGCATAAGGAAGCTCTTGCCAATATGTACCCGTCAACTGATGTTGCTAAAACAGATGATGTGGTCATTTATCTCATTACTGTTTCTGGGATCTTGCTGTGTGTGCAAATTTGTCACTAAATGTCTTGCTTCAATACAATGACAAAGCTTCATTGCCTGTCAAGTATCTTAATGAGTTCCTTTTTTGAGTCTTTGTCAGTTTTTGTCTGCTTGTCCTCAGGATGTTTTACTGCATTCATGATGCAATAATAATGCAAGCTGCTGCTGTAGAACACTTGGGATATTGAGAGAATGCAGAAGGTTCTCTATAAATGCAAATCTTTCCTTTTGGTAGGTGAAGATGTGAGCTATCTGCCCAAAAACAGGAACGAGTTTTACTTCTCTCTTTTGCAACTTGTTTTGTTGAGCTGTCAGTATAGTGGTGACCACGGTCATTAGGATGAATGGCACATTCAGGAAATGAAGTCATATTTGACCAAATTAATGCAAATACCATGCGACTTCACATTGGAATTGCAAGAATTTTAGAATGTTCTGGAACAGGAAAAGATCATTCGGTGCAGTAAAGCTGCCTTTCCTGATTCTCTGATATGCACTGCTCTTTACTTAGCCATATCTGCTGTTTGCATGGAATCAGTATCCCACTTCTTTCTGTGGGGAGTAACCATAGTGTCTTTGCATATGAGGAAATCAGTATGGAAATAAATGAAGTTTATTGAATGATTGCATGTTTTTAAAACTTGTAAATGTTTTTGGGGCAGTTCCAATGTGCCGATGGCCAACCTCTGATCTTCCACCCACCTTAAATTCAGCTCATTCAGAATTCTGCTGCCATTCATTCTAATTTGCAACAAGTCCTGTTCACTGAAATTAGCTCAATGTCTGCTGACGCGTGAGTTTTAAAATTCTTTTCCACACATTCTTTTTCAACTCCTCCCTATTTCTGTAACTTCCTCCAGCTCTATTACTCTTCCAGTGCTCCACCACAGGACTCTCATAATATTGGCCTGTTGCACGTCTCCAGTTTCCTTCAATCAGTATTAGTGACGTGCCTCCTGCATACTAGGTTTCAAGCTCTGGAATTCCCTTTCGCAACTGCAATTCATCTGGTTAAAGTCTACCTCTGTGACCAGAAAAGTAGCTGTCTGTCCAAATAGTGACGTGGTGGCTCAGTGGTTAGCACTGCTGCTTCACAGCACCAGGGACCCAGGTTCAATTCCTGCCTCAGGCAACTGTGTGTGTGTGGAATTTGCACATTCTCCCTGTGTCTGTGTGGGTTTGCTCTGGTTTCCTTCCATAGTCTGAAGATGTGCAGATTAAGTAGATTGGCCATGCCCATAGTGTTCACGGATGAGTAGGTTAGGTGGATTAGCCATGGGAAATGCATGGTTACAGGGAGAGGGTAGGGGAATAAATCTGGATGGGATGCTCTTTGGAGAGTCGGTGTGAACTTGTTCAGCCAAATGGCCTGTTTCCACACTGTAGGGATTCTACGATTCCAGCTCCTTATGTTGCTACATGTCAGATTTCATTTTGTTACACTCCTACTAAGTGTCTTGATATGTATTGCTATGTTAGAAAGGGCTCAATATATGTCACCTGTTGTTGCAGAAGAATGTAGTGAGCATCTTTATGTCCTCCAGTACATGTTCTGCATAATTCAGAATAAAACTTTAAGTCCGGGATGAACTGTACATAGCATAGATTAAGAATTCTGGTTTTGGTATTCAAGAGAGCCTTATCTATTTGTGGGACCTCATTTATTTGTGCACTTTTCAATACTATTTTGAGCAGAAAGACAGGACATCCCATTTGTAACATATACATGGGTGAAGAACCATGTATAAAAGTGGAATTATGATGTCAGTACAATACCATGGCTCCGTTGGTTATATTCCCGCCTCTAAATTGGATGGTTGCATGTTCAAATCCCACTCCACGATTATAATCCAGGCAAGCACTTTAGTGAACCACTGATGGCACTTCAGCCTGGGCACCATGGCAATTTTTGAATAAGATGTTAAACCAAGCCTCCATTTGCCCTCTCAGAAGGATGTGGTGCTTTTCAAAGAAGATTAGGGAAGTTGCTGGCTAATACTTTTTTCTTTTGTAGAGTCATAGAGATGTCCAGCGCATAAACAGACCCTTCAGTCCAACTCGGTCGTGCTGACCAGACATCTTAAATTAATCTAGTTGCATTTACATGAGCAACAGCCAATCAATGAAATGGTCAAATTACTCATGACTACTTTGTGTTTGTGGGATCTTGCTGTGTAATAATTAGCTGTGACATTGTTTGTATTAAACAGTAACTGCATTTAAAAAAAAACTTGGTTGGCTATAAGCATACGCTGAACTTGTGAATGGCATTTTGCAAACCTTTCAAGTGCAACACAGAGAATTAGTAAACTGGCCTTGCATCATCCTTGGTCATGGGCCTATACATAGACATTCATAATCTGATTTGTCTGTTTTTTTGCTTCTCCCTCAATCTTTCACCAGTGGTGCTCCCCCCAGAGAAAGCAGAGCCGTGTGATGGATTCACATCCACCTTCAGCCAAGAAGATGGAGAAAAGTGTCCTGGTAAAGAAACCAGTAGAGGGACCAGCAAGAAACGGCTGACCTTTGATGTGAGTTTTTCAATCTGAAGATGGTGAATTATTGAAGAAATTGGTATGAGAAGAGTTCTATTGATGAGCGGCATGGTTAACTTTGGCCCTTTAAAACCAAAATGTCCAAAGAGACAGTTGTGTTTTACCTACGCTAAATGCATATATCATCACAGACATTGGCAATCATTCTATACACCTGTTAGAGGGTTGGGCTCAAAACAGAATATGCTGGAATCTTCTATCTGATCTATGAAATGGATCCCTGTTGGAAGCAGATGAGAAGTGAGGGATCAGGAATTAGCCATTCAATTCACCATCCATTTGGATCATGACTAACCCCTGTATATAACTCCATTTGCTCACCTATACTTCAGATCCATTAGTACCTTACTTTTTCAATTGGTGCAAAGAGTTCCAGATTCCATTATCCCTTGTGTGAAATGCTTCTTAATGTTAACCCTGAAAGCCTAAGCGTAATTTTCAGATTATTCCCCCATATTCCAAACACCTCCATCAGAGATAGTCTTTGTCTCTCTCTCCCACTCTCCTTCACCTTCTCTCTCTCGTTCCTGCTGTTTCCCTTTCCTTACATTATCCCTTAATCTCCTTTACCCAGGGAAATGCAAGCTGAGTCAACGCAACCCATTCCTTGTACAAGTCACATGCATAAGAAATAGATTACTTCTGTTGTGTACAAGCTTATAACCTTCTGTTTTGTTTGATTCTAACTATGACATTTTATATGAATCCCATGATTAATTTGATTTCACAGTTGATGTTGCAGTGGAGTACATGTCCTTGAAGACATCAATTTAATGATCTCCTCAAACCTTACTCCTTTGGCTTACAATTGAATTGGACCTCACACTTAAACTGCATCAATCCCTTACTGTAAAGTTCCAAAACAATTAACTTGAAGTTGTAATATGCTGAAAAATTGTTTAAATGTGCTGTCCAATTTGTTAGCCACATGTGGCCAATTAAAAATCTACAGTGGAGGATTGACTATTGATTAGCAAATAGAAAATGAGTTATAGACCCCATTATTGTTTGTGGAATTTCAGTATTGATAATGTGCCTTGCTTGACAACAATATCAGGAAAATAAGAGAGTTTGATTGTTTTTTTGATTGGTATGGATGCTTTCACTCCTCAGTGGTGCATGCTATGTAAGTATTAGTGTGTGAAATGGATTTACCTTGATTGTGTTTAAGGTGTTTTGTGCGTTTGTGCCCATAACTGGTCAGCAGTTTCTATTGTACAGTGTTGTGCTTGATCTCTTCCATATTAGTCAGTGGGTAACCCTGATCTCAAGCTGAAGCTTATTGATTTGGAAGGTCTGTGATTTTTTTTCTATCTGTGTGTTAATCTTGGTTCCTAAAGTGAGATTCAGAAGGTGGCAATTGGTCTTTGAGTTTACTGGTTGGAGAAGGATAGAATTGGCTAGGCTTTCCTTGCCAAATAGCTTCACAGTAATCCCCACTGAAAAAGTGGGGATGTATAAATGACTGGTTAAATAGATTAGCCAGGGTTTCTAGTATCAAACTCTCACACTGGAATGATCATTCAGGTGAATGAGCTAACATTACCTGTAGAAAAGAGATTTCTTGAATTCTGGGAGGTCTGTTATGCAAAACAGTAATTGAATATAAGATGAAAGAAATTTAAATGGAATTCAAAGAGCTACAAAGTAAAGGCAAATAATGTTGCTAGTTATTCCTTACAATAACTAGTAACTCATCCCTCTATATCCTCTTACAAAGAGATACCAGGCCTCCTCTATCTTCCGAAAACAGCAGACTTTAATAGTGGCTTGAGCCTAGGTTTTGCATTGCTACCATACCACAATTGTTCCAATGCACATAAAGTTATGACAATGTTTCAACCTGTTTTTAAAAAAAAAAATCCCACAAGTAGAGGAGATTTAGAACAGAGAAATGCACTTTCTTTTCAGGAGCTAGAGTGTGACGTGTCTGTTGAAGAAGATAACCATCAGGAATGGACCTTCACTCTTTATGATTTTGACAACTGTGGCAAGGTTACTAAGGAGGTACCTTTACATTTACATTTGTTTCTGCTTCTTGGGAGATCATGGTATATTAATTTCCACATACTACCAATATAAATAACGCCAGCAAAACATTAGGTGCCTCATCATTGGGAGAGATGGTAGAGAGTACATGATGAGCTCTGAAAAAGCTTGCTATTTTAATATGGAAGAGAAATAGAGAGTTATTCAGTAATTTCTGGTGTTGTTACATTGGAACAATACAAGAAGGCACTCTCTGTTGGTGAGTGTATGGGTGTGAAATGTGTATGGTTGATGGGGATTGATCCTGGGGCTGTGCAGCAAATAGCTCAAGAAGTTGCAGTTGAGTCTTAGCTATGTGAGACCTGTAACAAACCAAAATGTGCAGAACCACTCCTTTAAGTATAGGACCTGCCCCACTCGCAAATGGTTTGAAGATATAATTGATGTAGGGAAGGTCTGCAAAGTTCCATCTTCATTTTAGTTTTAGACCCTCTGAAATGTTAGGAATGGGAGAAACATTTGTACAAGAAGCAATATCATTTGTCAGTCATCAAGTGAGATTTTTTTTATTACATTATGATTTTAGAAAATCCTTCACCTTCAACATTGGATTGGTCTGCAATCTCTGTACAAGCCTTTTCATCCATTACTTTGTATTTTTGCTGATTGTGTTTTGCTGCAATTTCCTCTGATCTTTGTACCAAACTTTGATGCAGTTGGGTTTTTTTTTAAATAAAAGAATCATCCTGCGATATCCATGTTGTTTGTTTGTATGTCAAAATGTTTATATAGCATTTCTTGGGTTGAGGAACCATTTACAAGTTATGATTGTGTTTTTTTATTGCCACATGGATTGTGGCATAATTACAAGATGAGTAGTGTCTAGTCATTGGCAGTAGAGGGAAGAGTAATGTTGTAGCCTGAAGTTCATTAGCAATGATTTAATTGTTACTTAATGGGGCATTATTGCATAGAACAAATTAAAGTAATGTTGTCAATCCACTTGGGTTCTGCTAATCAACACTGTGGCAACCTAAGCAACACTGTAAATCTTCTGACACTTACTTGTCATGAAGAGTATACTCCTATAAATTACTGTATCTGCAGCATTAAAGTCAGTCAGCTAGGAATGAACTGGTCATGTCATTGGACCTTTCTGCATTGTCTTCTAATGAAACCGGGAGATTGAGCCTGAAATCTTCTCCTGTTGGGCCATTGTGATGTGACAAACTATGTTGTCTGCTTGTTTTGACCTAGTTACCTGTTTGCTTTGCTGCAATACCTTTCTGTTGTTGGAATCAAATTTATAAAGAAGGGTTGTGTTTATGTGGTCCCTGGTATGGTGGAGGTTGAAAGAAAGCAAACATTTTCAACATGACAATGTAACATCATATTAATCGTTAGCAGCAATTGTTACTCAGTGTTCCCCACGTGGAATTTCTGCGTACATTGAGCAGACACCTAGCATGGACAGGAGAAGTGAGGGTGAGTGAGAAGAGGAGACTCAAAGGAATTCAGAAGAACCTTCTTTACTCACGGTGATTATATGAAGGAGCTTGCTACTACATGAAGTAGTTGAAGTGAAGAGCAATGATGCATTTAAAGGGATGCTAGATAAGAGCTGGAAAATTCTATCCCCATTTTATCTCCTCCTTCCCTTGGTTTATTTTTATTTTTACTGTCTTGTTTTTCTTTGCTTTCAGCTGACGTTCATCATCTAGTTTCTTTACTTGTGCCATTACCTCGCTTTCCCGTACATTAATGATACTTCAGCATTTAATCTCTACCCCATCACTGACAATTTCCTGTCTGCACATTTTCCAACCCTCCTCGTTTAAACCTCCAAATAGCTCCCAATTCTGATGAAAACTCATTGACCTGGAATGTCAACTCCTGTTCTATCCCGCCACAGAAACTTGAGTATTTTCAGCATTTTCTATTTTTATTTTGAATTTCCGGCATTCACAGGACTTTCCTTTTGTGATTATGCAAGAGTTAAATTGGGTCAGTCTGAAGTATAAAAGATTGACGGGTGTAGACAGGATGGGTAGGAAGCAACTGTTCCCCTTAGTTGAAGGGTCATTAGCGAGAGGGATAATTTTAAGGTGAAGGGCAGGATGTTTAGAGGGGATTTGAGGAAAAATATTTTCACCCAGAACGTAGTGGAAATCTAAAATGCACTGCCTGGGAGGATAGCAATTCGGGATAACCTCACAGTCTTTAAAATGTGTGTGGATAGGGACATGAAATGTCATAACATCTGTGGCTATGGGCCAAGTGTTGGAAATGGGATTAGTGTAGATAATTCAGCACAGAACTGATGGACCAAAGGGCCTCTTTTGTGCTGTCTGACCATATGGTTTTCTCTAAGATGCAATAAGGTTGGAGAAGCCTTGGGTACAGCACAACATAGGAAATTGTCCTATGACAATGTTTAAATTCACTAATTCTATGTATAGTGGTCTCAGATCCAGCAAACACGCAATCTGTCTCAAAGGAATGTATATTTGTATTTTGAGAAGATTCTCTATGTTTCACAGCAAGGGAAGCACAGCCATTCATCGAGTTATATGGGTACATGCCAATCATGTGAATTCGGAGCTCTTACCAGTGTACTTTGTTGAGTGGTGAGCAGGGTTCCTCGCTACCAGTGCTTACTAGTAAGTGAGAGACATTCACTTTAGATCCAAGCTGGATTGATCCAGAGTCTTTTCTAAATGGTGAGGAACAGAGATTTATTGATCCAAGGACCAAAGCCGCAAACCTAGTGGTCAAGTACATGAAAATCATTTTATCAGGTTAATGAAATGTCTGCTGGGAGTCATGCTTCAGTTGTATGACCGCCAATTGACTATCTCCAGCCACTGAATGTCAGAAAGGGCATGATACCGGAACTATATAGGTGAAATTATAAGGTCCCATTGCACTGATTCTGCTTGTATTGAGTACAGAAGGTTAAGGTGTTTAACAGTGAGGTGTTTCAAGCTAGGTGCAGCACTCTGGAAATAGTCAATTGGCGGTCTATACAACTGAAGCATGACTTACAGCAGACATTTCATTAACATGATAAAATGATTTTTCATGTGTGTACTTGACCACTAGGTTTGCGGCTTCAGTCCTTGGAACAATAAATCTCTGTTCCTCACCATTTAGAAAAGATTCAGGATCCATCCAGCTTGGATCTAAAGTGAATGATCTCTCACTTACTGCTGTAGGTAGTGATAAGTTATTTCCTCAGGTGAGGGAGTTCAGAAAATATTACATGACGTTGAAGTTAGAGCTAAGCCATTCAGGAGTGACATCCGAAAGCACCTCTTCACATGGCGTAAGCTTGGAACTCTCTCAAAAGGCTGTAGATACTCAATCAATTGGACACTTCCAAAAGTGAGATTGACAGAAAGAAAGTTGTTAAGTAAGAGTAATCAGGGCTATGAAGTTGAGGGTATAGATCAGCCATGGCCTAATAAAATAATAAAACAGGATAAATGATAAAGGATAACTCCTTTCCCTGGGTAACAGGCTCAAGAGGCTAAATTGCCTACTGTTGCTATATGGAAGCCTTGGTATTAATTTTCAATTTTGCTTTTGCTATTGCAAAAATTCAAATATTAACTATTGGGTTTTTAATTTTCTTGAAATATACGCTTTCATTTAGAACATGGTATCGTGTGTAAAAAATCCATTTGTCCAAATGTTAACCTGTAGGAAAAGCTTCTGTGCAACCAAGGACTTATCATTGAATAAGCATAACTTATTAAACTTGTTTTTTTTTTGAAAAATGAAATATATAGGATATGTCCAGCTTGATGCACACCATATATGAAGTTGTAGATGCTTCTGTGAACCAATCATCTGCCACCAGTAAAACACTGAGGGTAAAGTTGACAGTGACCCCTGAACCTTCGCATAGGAAGAAAGATGGTCTCACCAACGGTCAAGGTAAACCAGTTTTCACCTACTGCAAGCTGAATATTGAATAGTTTCCTTTTTATTTAATTATGTTTTGTCCTTGGACATGTCTCTCAGTTTATGAAATGAGAGATGAAACTGGTCCTAGCTGGTAGACATTCAGATTATCTGATGGTCAAATATAAGTGTCTATGTACGCGTTTATGCAGTCACAGTGCCATATTGCCTTTCAGTCTGAGAAAACAGACTAAAATGCCCAGTCTCACTGTGATGAGCAAGGATCATTTGATTTTTAAAGAACATATACTCATCCAATTTGATGCACCATTATTGTCACAGAGTCTGCTTCGGCTCAGTAAGCAGCCTCTGAGTCAGAGAATTGTGGGTTCAATTCCTCCAGGGGCCTGAGTACAAAATCAAGTCAAAGACTCAAGCTCCAGTCCTGATGGAGAGCTAAAGAGGGAGGCAGTATTTCAACTGAAGCTCTAAACCAGGCTCCTGTCCGACCCCTCAGAAAAACTCAAAAGGTGACATGAAACTACTTTGAAAAAATCAGTAATATTGCTCCCAAAGTCTGGGCTATTTATCCATCAACCAGACTTTAAAAAGCTTGTTTATGTGTTTGGTACTACAGAAGTATTCAATTGGTTGTAAACTGCTTTGGGTGCCTGAGTTCTTGGATATAAATGCACATTCTTTCATTACGTTAAGCTTCCGCACTACTTTGTGACTTGCCCTGATAAAAAAGATCTCTTGTGGAATAATTGCCAAGGCCTGAATCACTATAACAACTGGTATGAACCATATGTCTGCTGGATTCACTGATACTTCACTATTCCTAGTCAGCACTATTTCATCTTCCCCAACTTTTAAACTGCTTGAAAGCGGCAACATTGAAGCAGGTAGATTGGCTCAATTGGTATGCAGTTATTTATGCTCATCACAAGCCTCTTCCCATCCTACTTCACCTGATACAATCTAAACCTATCTCGTTAGCCTTAAATGCTTTTATGCTAGTTAACCAGCCCCCTCTTACAGCCTCTCTTAGTATTTGCAACAATTTAGGAATAAGATTTTGGATTGGTTCACAACCACTAAAAGGAATGAATTGAAACTGTCAGAGTCCAGACGGTGAAAGAACTTTCACATTCTGTGTGAATTAATTTCCAGACCTCACTCAGTCTTTGACTAAATGTTGAACTGTTGAAAATCTTGCACTGTGCTTTTTAAGCAGCTTGAAACTCCTGTGAGGCAGAGAGTGTTGGCTAAACCAAACAAGTTTACGAAGAGACTTTTCTGTTCACCTTTCTGCAGATCGAGAAAGCAGCCGGTGCAAGAACGAAGGAGAACATATGGAGGAAATGAAGAGCTTGGACAAAAGGCTGTCTGCTCATCTGAGGTACTAATTTACTTTGTTTAACAGATTTCTACATCACTAGGATAATTGAAAAGAATGATGAATTACTAATGTCGTTTTAGCCCTTGAACTTGTTTCAAGTTTCTCCGTAAAATGTGGCAAGACCAAGAGTTGGGAGTTTGCAAGGTTCAATTCCCAATGAAAATTCTCACTGCACACAAACAGACAATCTATAATGGATCCTCTGATGCTGTAGCCGTCTCACCAAATCAGGTTCCAGGTTGAGACAAAAACCTTCCAGAATGATTCTTGAGACATTTTTGTAATAAAACTATTTCCTTTTAATTGATTAATCCCACTTCTTACATTCCTCAATTCCTTTCTCTAGGACCCAGCTCTAATTATCTAGCTTCTGTAGTACATGGACTGTAATGAGAAGAATAGAGAAACATGTGCATAGGTAATACAGTAATCATAGATGGCTTCAATCTGCCTATATTCAGGGTAAACCTAAAGAGTGTTAATGCTCTGCAGGATGTATTTTAGGAGAGTGTTAAAGATGGCTTTCTAGAATAGAAATATTGAGAATCCAATGAGGTAACAGTCTATTTCAGATTAAGTATTATGTGTCATAAAAAGGCTAATCTTGTGGTTAAAAAAAATCCTTTAGGGATAAGTGACCATAATATCATAAAATTTTATATCACACTTGAAAGTGAGGTAGTTCAGTCTGAAGTCGGTGTTAAATTTAAACAAAGGAAGTTACGAAGGTTAGAAGGGCTAATGGGCTGAAGTGTTTGGGGAAAATACTTTAAAAGGTATGATTGTATATAAGCAATGGGTAGTTTACTATGCATTCCTTCAAGGCCCAGAACCTCCAAAAAGTCAGAAAACTGTCGCTAACAAAGAAGTTAAAGATTGCCTAAGATTAAAAGTCACACTAAATTGCCAAAAACAATAATAAACCTGAGGATTAGGCGAATTTTGCAATACAAGAGAACCAAGAAACTGAAAAGGGGAATAAAACATGAATGTAAACTAGCAAAACTGTTTTTAAAAAGTTTTTAAAAGCCTATAACAGCTTTTATAGGTGAATAAAAAGAAACCATTTGGCTAAGACAAATGTGTGTCCATTCGAGGCAGTATAAAGAATATATAATGGGTAATAGAGAAATGGAAAGAAGCTAAATGATTACTTTTGTTTCTGTCTTCACTGAGGAAGACAGAAGTCCCCCAGAATTGGACACCCAAGAGTGTAGGGATGATGAAGGATTGAACGAAATTTGTACTGATAAGGAGGTTATGTTAGAGAGATTAATGGGACTGGAGGATGGTAGGAACTTGGGATCTGATCCTCCACCTCCCAGAGTTGTTGGAAGAATTAACTATTAGATATCATGGCACATTGGTGACCATCTTCCAAAATGCTATAAATTCCAGAATGTTCATGCAGATTGGAAGATAGAAAATATCATACCATTATTTAAGGAGGGAAGGAGAGAGAGAAAGTGGGGAACTACAATCCTGTCATTCTTTTATCAGTGGTAGGGCAAATGCTTGAATCTGTTGTAAAGATTGTGATAAATGAACACGTGGATAATAATTATCTGAAAGGACATAGTTCTTATGGATTTGTGAATGGCAAATTGTGTTGTTAAATCATTTTAGCATTTTTTTTGAGGATATTCCCAGCAGAATTGATAAATTGGTGATTGGAGTACATTTGAATTTTCAGAAGATTTTTTATAAAGTTCCCAACAGAAATTTGATTATCAAAATTAAAGCACATAGGATAAGAGGTTATGTACTAGCATGGATTAAGGATTGGTCAACAGGCAGAAAACAGAGTACAAATAAAGGGCCATTCTTGCATAGTCAGGCTAAGACTAGTGGGATGCTACAGGAACCAATACTTGGGGCTGCAGCTGTTTGCAACATACATCAATGATTTGGACATGGGGAGCAAATGTATATTTACAAATTTGTGGATTACATAAAGCTAGGTGGAAATATTTACTGCAACGAGGATGCGAAGTGGCTTCAAAGGGTTTTGCACAGACGCTTTGAGAGCAGATGGAAACACGCCCATAATGTGGAAAAATGAGAGGTTATCCACTTTGAAATGAGGGATACATATGCAGAATGTTTCTTAAATGATAATGCATTGGACAATGTAAATGTATAAAGTGACCTTTCCTTGTCAATAAGTCACTGAAGGCTAACATGCATGTTTGGGTGGCACAGTAGCTCATTGGTTAGCACTGCTGCCTCTCAACGCCAGGGACTTGGGTTCGATTCCACTCTCGGGTGACCGTGTGGAGTTTGCACATTCTTGCTGTGCCTGCATAGCTTTCCTCTGGGTGCTCCAGTTTCCTCCCACAGCCCAAAGATGCACAGGTTAGTTGGATTGGCCATGCTAAATTGCCTGTAGTGTCCAGGGATGTGCAGGCTAGGTGGATTAGCCATGGGGGATGCAGAGTTACAGGGATAGGATAGGGGGTCTGGGAGGGATGCTCTTCAGAGGGTTGCTGTGGACTTGATGGGCCAAATGGCCTGCTTCCGTACTGTAGGGATTGTAGATTCTATGAACTAGAGAGGCAAATGGAACCATAGCCTTTAAGACAAGAGGATTTGAGTACAGGAGTAACAAATTCTACTATAGAACCTTGGTTAAACCACACCTAAAAAGTTGTGTATAATTTTGGTCCACTTACCTTAAGAGTGATATTATTGCAATAGAGGCAATGCTATGAAGGTTTACTCGACTTGTTCCAAAGATAACAGGCTTGCCCTACAAAGAGAGGCTTGAAAAATTGGACCTGTAGTCTCTAGAATTTCAAAGGATGAGGTGAGATCTCGTCGAAACCTACCAAATTCTTAAAGGGTTAGACAGCGTAGATGCAGATACACTATTTCCCTTGGCTAGGGAGACTAGAACCAGGGCCACAATTTCCAAATAAGAGGGAAGCCACTTAGAACCAAGATGAGGACAATTATTTTTCACTGAGAATTGTGAACTTTTGGAATTCTCTATATTGGAAGCTTTGTCATTGAGTATATTTTAAGTAGAAATTGGTAGATTTCTAAATACCAATAACATAGGTGGATATGGAAATTTTGTCAGGGGAGAAAACATTGAATTGGATGATCAACCATGATCTTATTGAATTGTGGAGGAGGATCAATAGACCGAATCTATTCCTATTCCTAAAAGGCAGCTTATTGCACTGGTTAAAAGTTAATTATGGGTAGCCATTAAACCACATCCCAAAAATGAATAGTAAAAAAAATCCGTCCCATGCTTTTCATTTCCTCATTATTAAGTTTGTGCATCCTGAATTTGACCGTAGTAAAAATTTGTTTGTTGATTCCGTATACATTTTGAAAAACTTCACTTGGAGTGCCATCTTTTCCACAAGTTGCAAACTTTCTTTGATCCTCTGGATATCTATAATGTCTCTATTTCTCACTTTTTATTTCTCTTAAGCCATGAAGTCCATGATCAGGTGCAAATTGATCAAAGCCATAAATATAAACTATTGAAGAGCAAGTGCAAAAATTTCAGGAAATGCTAACTTACAATACCTGAAATGATCTGAGGAGAATCATGCAGACAAAAATCTTTGGAAACATTTACAAAGCATGCTCAGAGGTTTCTTCCCCAACAAGATGGGCTGAACAGCCTCTGTACCAATCATTGAGAACTGATAAGAGTTGTGCACACATCCTCCAGCTGTGGTCTAACTAATGCCTTTTGGTCTGTACTCAGTGGTGAGCTGCGATAGCAAATTATAGCTGATGGCTTAACAGATTAATCCTCTCGAACATTTTAACTGAGTATTTGGTTCAGCACACTGCACCATTGTTCCATTTAGTACTTCCTTTCTCTTCTGGTTTCTTGTCCTCATTATTAATTACTTTACATTTGTTAAGACCGGGACTCAATAACCAGATATTGGCTTGATTGCAACCAAATTCTGAAGAATTTGAATATTGTTTTACATAATTCAACCAGTCTCCCACTTTAGCATAATCAGCTAACTCATAAATTATCTACCACGTATCCTTATTTGTTACCTATTATTCAACACTACCTCTTGAATTTTTTTCTTAATTCTAACCTCATTGATATTACCCTTTGACTTCTAATTTGTCTATTTCTTGGCCAACATCAGCCCTTGTTTCCTGTCATTTCTATGTTACCAGTTTCCAAAATTTACAGGTTTCCTGCAAAATTCAAGTATATGTCAGCTGTACTTCCCTTGCCCACAATTCCATTGATTCTTTTACCCAGGAGGGCATTTGGCCCACTATGCCTGTGCTGGTTATTTGAAAATGTTGGTCATAATCTCTTTAACAACAAAAAAAAAGTTTCAGCAGCTGTACTTTCCTTGAATTTCAAAGAACAGCTCTGCGCTCAATACTCAGTCTCAGTAATAAACCTGATGTGCTCTAGTATCCCATTATTTTCTCAACCTTGAAAATGAAGCCAGGTTAGTCATTTTCCAACCTTTCAGAATCCAATTCCAATTGAGTGTAATTATTAAAGGCTAATTGATTAATTTTAGTTTCTAACTCTTAAAGGATACAAATTGGGTTAGCTAGTTTGTGCGTTTGAAGTTTTAATTTTTAATGACACTCCATATCCATCAATATGTACCACTAGCTACTTAGCGGGAGGATTCCTGGAAACCACTTGTCCTGCTTAAGCAACTTCTCCTCTCGCTGTTCCTGGAAAGCAACTAATTGGCAATTCTGTTTTCTTTTAATAACCCTGGATTCTAGATTTCCACTTTTTTTTTAAATAAAATGTCTTTTCTTCATCAGCCATTTACTGTGTGTATTTTGAAGAGATTTTTATTGTTAATTGTGCCAAAGTTATGAGTGTCTTTACTGTGGCACACTTCAAGAGATGTAGATAAGCTGGAAGTCTGCAAGGTTAAAGCTCCATCAAATAGAGGGGGAGAGTGAAAGAGAGTTTGAAATTAAACCAGACCTTGCTCCAGGTCAAGAATTTGACCTTCGGTTGGGGAGACCGGTCTGGAGTTCAACCCAGTGAGTACCAAGCCTGTTGATCCCACATCAAGAGCTGTTAACATGCTGGGAATGAGTCAAATGAGTCTTAAAATGGGTTGTTTTCTTTCAGGAGATACAACTGTGACCACCAGCATTCAAATGTTCGTGAACATTACTGTGTAGATGAAAACACAGAGAGAAGAAACCATTACTTGGACTTGGCCGGGATAGAGAACTACACATCCAAATTTGGACCAGGTAATGGAATAAAATGGTCACTACTTTAGTATGATTGGAAACGCATATTCCAGGTTATAGCAAATCACTGCACAAAGGTAACTTCCATCCCTCTGTAATTTTGTCCGCTAATCATCTCAAATCTGCTGCTACTTATTACTATCCCACTAGGTCATAGAAACACTGTTTCTCCATCTATCCAGTCAAAAGATCCTCATAACTTTGAATGTCTCCATTAAGCCTGCCCTCTACTTTCTCCACTATAAGGATTTTAGCTTCTGTGATCTCTTCACGGAAGTCCTTCTTCCTTAACTACAATTCTGGTACATCTCCACTTCAACCTCTTCAAGGCTTCACCACCTTTGTTCCAGGTGAGTTTTATTAAGAAATAGCATAACCTCCTTGCTTTTGTGCTCACCGTCGAGAACAAGTACCATTTGTCAGCTGAATAAAACCAATAAAAGTTAATGTTACCACCAGTATTATGGTGAACTCACACAGTTACAATGGAAAGACCTGTAAAGCCCTGCAATATTTTACTGATCAGATCAAGTTATCAGGTAGTTATTGATTGAACCCTTCCCCCTTTCATGCTTTTCCTTAACTTCCTTCCCCAACTTGGAACTGAAATGTAATGTCTAAATACATTAGATGACATTCACTCCCAAGTAAAATTGCGCAGATTGCTCTTCAGTTTATTTCTACATGAGCATATTTTTGAGGGGGTGTTCGGAGACTTCTTTTTTTCTGTCTCTTAACTGGACAGGGAGTCACGTAAACATTTTAATCTTTTGCAGACGTCACATATGTCAAACCTTTGCAGGTTGCAAGTGGTACAAGATAACTGTTGAGAAAGAGCCAGATTCTTGGAAAGGCATCTGTTTTCTGCATGATTATGTGGCTCTTGAGTGAGTTTGTAATTATGAGTAACACGGAGATACAGACTGCCTTCCCACTACCATCTCACTACACTTCCCCCTGCCTTCTACCCCATTGCGAATTTATTTAAAATCTTCATCTAGCTTTTATCCCAACAATCCAGCCTTGGAAATCACGTTTCAAAATTGAAAGAATACTTTTGAATCATCCATTATACAGCTTGTCTAAACAGTCTTATCATTACAGGAAAGATAACTACAGGTCAAATCAATGTCTTTGCAGTTAAAGTTATAGACAGCTAAACAACTTTCAAGTGGTCCTGTATCATCCAGTACATTGGCCACAAGCTTCATTTTGCGAACTGGAAATTCAGACATGGCTGATTGCATTTCAGAGCAGTAAATAGAAAGTGAGTAATAGATGCTGAAATAAAAAATGGTAGGCACTAGAGATGCTCAGCAGGACTGGCTGCATCTGTGGAGAGAGAGAAAAATGGAGTTTACGTTTTGAGTCTGATATGACTTCTTCATACCAAAGCAATCATATTGGACTGAAAACATTAACTTGGTTTCTCTCCCCACAGATGTGACCAGAGCTGCTGAGATCCTCAAGCACTTCCTGTTTTTATTTCAGATCTCCAGCATCTGCTGTACCTTTGCTTTAACGATAGTAACTGTTGGCCAAAGGGTCTCAAAACATTCACACAACATATAGGTGTGAACTTTCACTTTTTTGGCTGTTTGTTGATAAATGGTGTGATGAAAAGTGATTATTTTAATAGAGATATAGCTGCCCTTTACTTGGTTACTGATTGTTGAGGAAGTGCCCACATTTGGTACATTTACCTTTATTGCGTTTAAGATTTTTTTTATAGATTTGAGTGCCTCTGTTGAAATGTTGTTGCCACAGTAACATCTGTGGCTAGTCAGTAATTTCTAATGGACATCTCTAAAATAATGAGTTCCTCAATTAAGTGAACTAAAGGGATTGGCTGACTGAAATCATCCATGTGGAACTAATATAAGTTTGGGGTATGTACTATTAATGAAGTCTGCTGAAACAGCAGATGGTTTGGGACAAATCCAGTCTTCACGGACAACTTAGCAGTGTTCTGGCATTTTGCGGGCTCCCATGTGTTTTTGGCACTGATGGGGTTAAGAACTGATTTCCTTTACAGATCAAAGCAGGCCAGTGACACTGCCAAATTGGAGTGCTGCCTGTACCCGGCACTACATGATCCACACAAATGCAGGAACTTATCTCCTGTACAAATACACAGAGGGCTTGGAAGGAGGCCAAATTTCATTCACACTCCACGATAAATTAACCGCCCCAAGGCACAGCATAACAGCAGAACTCTAGGGAACACTTAAAAGCTTGACCTTGAATCCTGGAAAAGTGGGCTGTGTAATTTGGAGTGACTGGCACAAGGGCTGTTTTTCACATGCTGATCGATGCAAAACGAATTCCTGCAATGGGGCAGTAGTCACTGTTTTCATCTTTCCTCAGTCTATGAGGAAATGTAGCAAAGGACACTTGACCTGTGTCTGAAAGCAAAGATATGTCTGTAATCCAAGTTAAAGTTATTGTGTTATGTGTAATTGCATTACTTAGAATCTACAACAGCAAAACTCCATTGGTTTCAACTTGTCATATATATATGCTGCACAGCAGTCTCCTCCCATTCTTATTGCCTCCTCCCATTATGTCCTATAAATATAACTCTCCTGCCTCATTTCCTGTGTATTTTAACCAGGGGTCAAATTCATGTTTTTTTTCAAGCGCTCCTTTTGAGATTTTCTTGATGGCTTCTTTTTCGCTTTCAGGCACTACTTTTCCATTCTCACTCATTTTCAATTCTCATTTCTTAGGTGATGCAGTCTGTTTGTAAATAACACCATCTGTATTTGTGTTGACATATGGTTAGTTTGGACACTCTCCAAAACAGAATTAGAATTCATGAATACCCTCAATAATTATCAACTAGTTAAAACTAACACCCAAACATATAGGAGCAGATTCAATTCCAAGATACTGCAGTATGTCACTTGGCACAAAACAACGTACATAATTTAGTAACCAAAGGTTTTTTTCAAGGCACAAACTTTTATACACAAGAAGACGTCGCTCTACACACACCTTCCTTGATCCGGGTGAGATCACAGCTAACGTGCTTCCATTGCATATGCACAAAACTGGAACTTCTTTTAACCAGCTAATTGTTATGCATTTTAATGCCTCTCGGAACTAATCTCAAATTTAAATTTAACAATTGATGCAGTGTTCATTGTGACATTATCCACTACACTCTTTCCTCATTTAGTAGTTGCTGAACTTATATAGCCTTAGTTAGTGATATCACAGTTATTTTCCAATAGTTCATTGTCACAGTGGTTTCAGGTTTTCTTGGCTCCTAGTTAACTGAGTGTTCCTTTGTTGATGGGTTTAAAACTGTGCTCCCTCCTTTTGTGCCTCCTTTTTAGCCTCACCACCTTTTTCAGCTACTTTCTCCCCACCCCACAACTCTTTTCAAGCCCCCTCCACCACTGCCCTACTGTTGCACACCTCTTTCAGCCCCTTTCCCTAGGCCCTTGCCCAAAACCCATTCAGCTACCTCTTCTCCCTCTCACACCATGACCAACCCACTTCTTACAGCCTCCTTCACCCTTGCCACCACACCACATCTCAAGCTATCTCCTCTCCATCACCAACCCCCTTGGAGACTCCCTCTACCTCTCCCCCCGCCACCCCTTACCCTGGAAGATGGCCCTGAAGCTGGCCAAAGGCTCTGCTTGAGACTTACTGCCACTGCTGACTTTCCAAACTCCTCACTGGTTCTCCAATCTGTTTCTGTCCTGCATTTATTACTGATAGGATTACTGCCTTTTCTCCGGTCAGGCCCATGATTGAATTTAGTCTGGGGCCAAATGTGCTCATCTCCCATGAGTACTGGTATTATCCTTTTTAAACGGATCAATATTATTCTGCTTCAACCATACCCATTTGGTGGTGAAGTCAACATTTTCACTAGCCTGGGTAAAGAAATTCCTTCAAAATACTTTATTTAATCTATTGGGAAACAATCTAACTTTGAACAAAAGAGCATTAATATATCAAACCAACCAATGATTTTAAAGATCTCTATAAGTTCATAGGATCCCTACAATATGGCAAGAGGCCATTTGGCCCATCAAATCCACAACAACCGTCCGAACATCATCCCACCGAGACCCATCCCCCTACCCTATGTCTGTAACCCTGCATTTCCCAAGGCTAATCCACCTAGTCTGCACATCCCCAGATACTATGGGTAATTTAGCATGGCCAATCCACATAACCTTCATGTCTTTGGACTGTGGGAAGAAACACGCACAGATTGAGGAGACTGTGCAAATTCCACACAGACAGTCATCCGAGGCTGGAATTGAACCCAGGTCCCTGGTGCTGTGAGGCAGCAGCATTGACCACTGAGCCACTGTTCTGCCCTTGGTCTTGGTCTTCTTAAAATGATCTTATCTGCCAAAACTGCTGCATTGTCTCCTCATCTCATTCTGTTGACACTGGTTTTGTCTCCCTTTCTCTCTGTCAGGTTCCCCGCCATTGCAGACCCGGCAAGAGCACCATGGGAAAAATGCTCACTCCCAGAACAGGTCACGATCCCAGGAATCAGAGGCCCATGGCAACCACAACCGTCGATCCCAGCTCCTGCTGGACCAGTCCTCTCCGACAAGCCTGGGCGAGCTCAGGTTGGGTGAAACACACCAGAGGCTGAAATGCCAAGAGAAGCCACCGGGCAAATCCTCCAAGGGAGTTGGCAAAGCTCCCACTGTGCCAGGCCAGAGCAGCGGTGGAAACAAGACCATGAAAGGCCTGCACTACCACTCCCAACCCAACCATCCGGGGCACGACCATCACCATCTGCAACAGCAGCAACTACACAGCCATAAAAAGTACAGGCAACGAATAAAAGAGAACCACTCGCCAATGAAGGCAGCCCACGCTCAGCTGCCGGCGGTGGAGCAAGAATTTGTACGGGATCTGCCGCCGGTTATGTCAGGTGATGGCTATGTGATGCCCGTGGTTCAAAGACATGAACACCATCACCACCACGAACATCATCATCACCATCACTATCATCATTACCACCAGTCATGAGGAGCTGACGGCTGACAGAAAAGAAGAAAAAGAAGTCCCGTGTTTAGGGCAGGACATTTCCCATCTCTGCGATAACTCTGTTTCCTGCACTGTGGCACTGGCCATTTTTCAACTGATAGGTTCAGGCCTGTGCGAGCAACAGTTCAGAACAAATAAGCTTCAAAACCCATGTCAGCTCCATAAGTTGCAATTTTTCTCACGATACGTTGTTTTTTTGTTTCAGTTTGGATTGATATGTGTGCACGTCTTTTTAGGGTTAATAATCACTTTCTTATCTTCTCTCTTCTGTCTGTGGGACTAAGGTGAGATATGCAGTTCCTTGGATGCAATGCAAGACTGCCCACCAGGAGAAGCAGATCTACTTTATACTTTTCTTATTAACTAGTGACTTTTAAAAAAAAAAAAAAAGACCTATAAAGGTTTGAGACACCACTGCCATTACTCTGCTGCGTAAGAAACATGAACATCAGAATTTATTATGTTTTATTATCAGCTGAACGAAACTAATATTTATACTGGACTGATAGTGCATTCTACACGTGTGCTCTGTGGTACCGTGGATCTGAGCTACTAAGACAAACCATCTTGGATGGAAACCCTAAGCTCAATCCACAAGCCATCTAAGAGTGGGCTTCCTCTGTCAAAACAAGATTGCCTTTACTGTAGGTACAATTTTGAAGTGTATTGTGATATGAACTGATGGTGAGCAGTCTGTCAGCATGTATTGTTAACACCATAAGGATGAATGTAACACATAGTAATCATTTTAAAATATAATTTATTCATATATTGAGATCTTTTTTTATTTTTTAGCTATATCCTCTTTGCTTTCTGTCATTCATGCTGATGTCACTGATAGGTGCCCATCTTCATAGGAAAGACATTGATAAATTACATTTTCCTTAAGGGAGAAAAAACTCTTGTTTTTCTTATGTCTGCCGTGTGTGTGTCTCCACAATCTCTTCACAGCTACTAATTTTTTTCTAAACTTTTATTATTATTATTAACAAAAACCATTGGAAAAGTTGTAGTGACAGAAGATCAGAACATAAAGTAAAACAATTCCTACAAAGATAATTTTGCTTCTAATACAAAATGTCAGAATCCCGCTGTATCCTCTGGATCATACAAAACTTCATTGTTTTGTATCTCAGCTGGAAGACTTTCTGTGCTTTGGCCATCATAGCTCTGTTTCAGAATTATTGTCAATACTTCCTCAAAGTTGATGCCAGTGTCACAAGGAATATGTTACTGTAATACTTTCCTTACATTCCAGTTTTGTGTGGATTTCTCCCATATTATGTTGACGGTATTCTCCCAGATATGTTATCGAAAGTAGCCATACCATATTGTAGTGATATTTTTTTAAAGAAAAATGCCTTTCATAATAGTTCTACTTTATTGGATTTCACTGCGATTTTTTTTATATAGTATTGTACATGAACTTAATTAAATGGATTATTTATTTAACAGCACGCAATCTGTTTTCATTTCAAGTAAAAATGTTGCTAGAACCCTCAATGAACTTGCCAAGCATTTCTGTTTCCTTCCTCAACTGTGATATTATCAACTGTGGCCAATAGGGTAGTACACTTGTCTTTGAATCTGAAAGTTATGGGTTCAAGTCCCACCCAAATATCTGTGACAAACTGTAGGTTGACATTCCAATGCAGCACTTGGAGACAAATGCACTGTTAGAGTTGCCATATTCCAGATGAGATCTTAAACTCAGGCTCTAAATTCCCACTCAGCTGCATATAAATGATCCCATGGTACTATTTTGAAGATTGCAAAGAAAGATCTTCTGAGAGCCTCGCCATTATTTATCCTTCAGTGTGCATGACTGACAAACATTAGGTAATCATTTTTTTGGCTACAAGTGCTGTTTACGGTAGCTACCTGCATTACAACTGGGCGCTGCTTCTCCTGCAACACTTCAGAAACTTTTAATTGCCTATAGAAGTTGAACATCCAGGTGAAAAATCCTATATGAATACTTACTTTGATAATTTAGAGCAAGTGGACTTTGCAGAATCTATTTGGTTTTATTATTGTCTGTTGAAATTTTCTCTGAAATGAACTCAAAACTCCCAAAACTTAACTGCACTCAGATGGTATTTATACTGGAGATGCACAAAGGTAAATTGGCTTCCTTCATGAACTGATTTCGGGGTAACTTGGGTTTTATTTGTAGAAAACTTGTGGATTGCTTACTTCGTACTGCAGTATTGTTTTTAGGAAATCCATTCTTATATAGATTTTTTAAAATTAATTCTCACAATGGTGTTGGCAATGTCAGCATTTATTGCTCATTCTCCATTTCCCATAGCGGTTTCATATGACTGAGCAGTTTACTTAATTCACTTTCAAATGCAATTAAGAGTCAACCTTTTTATCATAGGACTGGAGTTGCATCAGCCAGATGAGGTAAAAATAGAAGGCATCTTTCCCTATGGGATATTAGTGAACAAGTTAGACTTTTATTACGACTCTATAGCTTAATAGTTACTTTTGCTGTTGCTAGCTTTGTTCTAACTTGCAGTAAAACTGAGTTCACATTCACAAATTACCATTGGGCTTTAGCTTTATGCTCTCCATATTATTCTTACTTTAGCTACCACTATCATACCCTTAATAGTAAAACACAGATTCATTTAAAAAACATAACATCTAATGCCAAATTTGAATTCTAGTCTCACATTTGAATTTCAGTTGTAAACTAAAGAGCATTTTCAAATATAAGAAGTCGAAACTTAGCTTTGCAGAAGTTTCTGGTAAAATGGAAGAGGAATTAAATGGATTTAAAATCTCAGACGTAGATAGATAAATAGAAAAACAAGCCAGACAAGCAAGTTAGAAAAGGACAGATGAAGAAAGACAGAGACAGAGGCACAGCTGTAGAAAGCTTTAGGAAAGTGACCATGAAGTCTTAGGAGCTGATTAGAGTGTTGGGTAATACTGGTGTCTTTGGCATGAGAGAGACATTGACAGGCAGAGAAGATTAATTGTTGGAAGTTTTGTGAAAACTGAATGCCAGGGAGAAGGTTCACCAAAGTGTAGAATATCTTGAATTAATTGCCCTACTTACTGTTAGTCTCCATATAAGAAATATTATTGCCTTCCCTTTTTAGTGACTTTGTGACCGTCTTAAGTTAGTAATTTGCATATTTCTTCCTATTCTAAAAACTGTAGTGTATCCATAATCACCCGTTTGCAAAATTCCATTTTCCCAGTTACAAATCTACCACTAATTTTTCGGGCATGAGGACTATGGAGGAAACTCATTTGATAGAGTAGATGGTTCTTTCTGTTTCCTTGCTTCACTTGGTTATAATTTTCCAAGTTATATTAATTGATTACTGTGTAATGGATGTGGGTGAATTTTAGCAGCTTAAATAAATGCATCAAATCATGAAAATGATGTAAGAAGGTTGTGAAGAAGGCGTTTGGTACACATGCCTTTATTGGTCAGTGCATTGAGTATGGGAGTTGGGAGGTCATGATGCGGCTGTGCAAGACATTGGTTAGGCCACTTTTGGAATACTGTGTTCAATTCTCGTCTAGGAAAGATGTTGTGAAACTTGAAAGGATGCAGAAAAGATTTACAAGGATGTTGCCAGGATTGGAGGGTTTGAGCTATAAGGAGAGGCTGAATAGACTGGGGCTGTTTTCCCTGGAGGGGTGACCTTATAGACGTTTATAAAATCATGATGGGTGTGGTTCAGGTGAATTGCCAAAGTTCTTTTTCCCAGGGTAGAGGTGTCCAAAACTACAGGGCATAGGCTTAAGATGAGAGAAGAAAGATTTAGAAGGGACCTGAGGGAGAACTTTTTAACACACATGGTGGTGCATGTATTTAATGAGCTGTCAGACGAAGTGGAAGAGGCTGGTACAATTACGATTATTAAAAGGCATCTGGATGGGTACATAAATAGGAAGGGTTTAGAGGGATATGGGCCAAATGCTGGCAAATGGGACTAGATTAATTTAGGATATCTGGTCAGCATGGACGAGTTGGACTGAAGGGTCTATTTCCATCTTGTACAACTCTATGATTCTAATACTGTATTTATTGAGATTTTGTATGTATTCTAAGCACCCAAGTGATTGAGATTAAATGGACATCACGATAATGGGTTGGCCATGCTGAGATGTCTGGAGGGATAATGACTGGAAAGGCAGATACTGAGAAATTAGGTTTCTGCTGTTGGTCTTGAAAATGAACATTGAGAACTAGGCTCAAAAGGACAACATTTGCATTTCTGTAGTGCCTTTCTGAATAGCTGCTCATGTCAAAACACATCACATCAAATTAAGTATTTTGAAGGAGTTACTATCGTAGTTGTATTACTGGCTTCAAAACCCTAGCTTCACAGGCGGGAAAGTTGGTTCTGAACTCCCTCCTGCTGCTACTGGCATCACTTTGCAAATTTATCATAAAGAGCCAATTAGGAGACTGCCTGTGGTCCCACCATCCAATTAACGATAATAAATGAGCTGCTGATGCTATTGCTTTGCAGAACTGCTGGTTTTCTGAAGCATCTACTTTATCGCTGGGGGAGGTGGGCACTGCTGAGGCAGCTAGGTGGCACCTCCAAGGAAGTGAATTAACAATAAAATATTTGGGGACTGATGGTCAAAGGGAAAAAGACTCTGGAGGGAGTGGCATTGGCATGGTCACAAAGGCTATCCTCTCTGCTTGCAGACCTCCCCTGGAAGACTGTTTCCATTAAGCTGATGACCTCCCCTTAAGTTAGGATGCTGCCCCAAGTTTGATCAATTTCCATTTGTTCCATAAAATGGCCCTTAATGAGGACCATTGGATGCTCAAATCAGCTGTTAACCTCCTTAGAATGGGTAGCTGATTTGCCACTCAGACTACCAGCATCTTTTAGCGGAACTCCATCAGGGTACCATCCTGTCTTACCTCCCTGCTATTTTATCATCTCCTACTAACCCAACCCATCTCCATTCCTGCCATCCAGGATCCAGTAAATTTTCAAAACTTCCAACTGTGTGCAATATTCCATGAGCAGAAATAAGGCAATCAACAAATGCAATTTTAAGATCCATTTTAATTATGGGATAAAAGTAGACACAGGCTTTGGGATAAGTTCCCTGCTCTTCTTCAAGTAGTGCTATGAGATCTTCAATATCCACCTGAGAGTTACTGTCAAATCTGAAAGAGAGGACTTCCAACAATGCTGCATACCCGTAGCACTTATTGAATCTGGACTTGCGGGAATGTTTGCCGAAGTTTCCAGAGTGGGGCCTGTATCCATAACTTACAGTACAATAAAGGCTAATATCTAAACTCATCATATTTGTTTCTGTAATAAATGCGCTTTTTTGTTAGTTTATTGTATTGGAATTTGAAGGATTGTTTGCTACAAGCTGTAAGATAGCAATTTACCCCATGATCCTGATCTTGAATACAATAGCATTTACTCTGGTTGGGAAATGAGTGACACGGGGTCTCTATTGTAAAATTGTCACAATAAGAAAAAGTTTTGAGAGCATACCAGATGCAGTGAGTGTTAGAACACGTACCACCTTGCAAACATGAATGAATGGAGCACAGAAAATTGCAGTTATAAGAAAAATTGGGTATATATCTGAAGCAGAGAGCAGCCGAGGGTCAGACAGACCCAAGGGGCTCAGTGACTGTTTCCCTATACTGCAGATTTTAATCAGTTTTCAGAAGTCTTCTCATGTTCCCATTGTTTTTACACAGTGGGCCAATAACAGGATATGTAGATTTAAATTAAACACACAAAAAACTTTTTTTTATTTGGTGGGCCCACCTAAAGTGTATTGAAAAGCTTTCCCAAAAGGCTCCCTGTGGTTTATTTGGAAAACCTGAGTTCTAGATGTAATAAATTACAACTATCAGACCGCTGTGAATCTGCATCCCAACTCGTATATGATGACCATAAGGTGTTTTCCTCAGAGGAAACCCACAAAGGCCATTTGGCCCATTAAACCTGTTCCCTCTAAAGACCTAATAATATTCCAGGTGTAGGAAAAAGCATATAAGGAGGTGTCAATGGGGAGATGAAAGAAAATAAAATTGATAAAGTATGTTGAACAAAGCTGTGAAAAGACAGCTTTTAGTCTAGGTAAATTTATCAATAAACAGAAGCAGTGTATTTCTTAAAGGGTTGATTAAATACAAGTTTTTTATTACACTTCTCTACATGGTATCTAGCCATTGGATTATTTTGGTTGAATTTTTAAGATGGGGACTGCCCATGTGAAGGTATGAACAGTTTGTTTTGAGCTTTCAGATATTTTTGAATCAGTCTATTCGAGATGTTATTACATATCTCTAGAGCAGGTGGAATTTGAACATGGCTCTCCTAGTTCAGAGGTACAAACACTACTACTGTGCCACAAGAGCCCTCAGGTCTCATATTGTAGTAAAACTAATGTATAACCTTGTTTCTCTTAATTCTGCCCTATTCCCTGTC